GTTAGCTAGCTGATTAGCAGCTTATTAGCCGTATAGGGGTGAGCATAGCTGCCTTCAAAGCAACTAACCTGGGTTCGTTTCCCAGCTATCGCAATGTCTGAGTGGCTGGTTAGCTCAAGTGGTCAGTCACCCATCCTGCCTGGATTAGTATTTCAGATGGGGTCAATGAGCCCTTCACGCTAATGCCTGCTTTGGAGAGGGGTGGCCTAGTGCTCAGGGCATAGAGCTTGGAATCTTGAGCTCTGAGTTCAAGCCCCACTCCCACAGACTGCCACTCTGGGTCCCTGAGCAAGACCCTTAACCCCACTCTGCTACCCGGGTGCCGTACAATGGCAGCCCACTGCTCCCCAAGGGGACGGGTTAAATGCAGAGAGGGAATTTCGTTGCTCTGTACTGGTGACAGTGAAATGACAATAAAATGCTGGAAGAAAAATAACTGCTTGAACCACTGAGGGGGACAAAATAAACACACAAACAAGAAAGAAATATATGGATTTAAAACAATGATGGAGGTGAAGAGGACTGTTCTCACAGATCTGACAGATTAGCCTACAGTTCAAAGCAGTTTCTTTCCTACTAGAATGTCAGTCTTTGCCAAGGAAAACAATTATACCACAGAATTATATAACAGATAATTAATAAAGCTTTTCGTTTTTATAACTCAATGAAAATGATGATATTTGCTGTACCTGTGTGGCATAAATCGCTCTCTTCATGATGGTGAAGTCATCTCTGTCCAGAATGCTATTCCTGTCAGGGATCTGGCCTCTGAACATGGAAACCAACGCATTGCAGACTCACATGGCCTTTGCTTATTGGAGAAAACTGCTGATTTCTTTTAGGTGGTGATTCATTCATTTTATACTTACGTCAGCAAAGATTCATAAAGCTTTTTTCCAAACTTCTCTTTCACAGTGTATCCCTGAGAGTGATAATAATAAAAGCTGTTTAAATGTATAGAATGAAGATAAAGGGATATTTGAGTTTAGGTGTAAATATTTGAAAAGTGTCTACCAGAGCTGCTTGCGCACCGCCTGCCCCTTCAGCGACTCCACATTGAAGGTGTTGCTTTCAGCTGGCATGATGAAGAAAACTACCACTGTCAGGTCATTCCTGTGGATCTGTTGACAGATTAATGTGCTAAAATCGACTTTCAAACGCAAGATCAATGCAAAACTGAACACAAAGTACAAAGTCTTCACCCGCAGCAAATAGTTGAGCCTAGAGAGGGATTCAAGGAAAATATCCGCTCCCTTGTTGGAGAATTCATATCTTCCAGCAATAAAAAAGAACAGGGTTTTATCCAGGTTGAAGTCAAGATGCCTGCAGAAATTAGACTTTTATAAACTGACCACACAAAACATCTCAGCAGATTAACAATATGATGCTTTTAGAAGTTTTATAATTAGACTTAAAGCTGCATGACTTTCTCACCTACCCATAGAAGTGACCTCTGACAAACTCCTTGATGCGGTTCTTGTGGGCGGAGTGAAGGTTCTGAAAGTCATGCATGGCTGAGAACTTCTTCACATTCAGCCCGTTTGGGGTCACCACATCTATAGCATAATAAACATAGAGCAGTGCATGACGCTGAATAATGTCTAATAGTGTTAAGTCTAGTAATGTTTGCATATTTAGATCTTTAAGATCATCAAAAGATCATCAAACACACCTTAATGCCCAACAAACATAATCTGAATTATTAAGGTTAGAAGTGACTCAGTGAGGAAGTATTGGAACTGCCTCCTAACTGCTTTCTCTTTAGCAGCAACATCTGCCAAATGTAATCATTAAGCTTGTTTCTCTGTTACATGAAGGGCCTCCTTACTGTCATGTTGCATCCTCACTGTCATATTCCAAGTCTTTTTTTTATTTTGTTGTGTGTGTGTTTACCTGTCTAGGGTACACACAGAGTGAGGACCATTTTTCCAAGTTCACCATCAGATTGAGGAAGAGTTGTTGCAAAGTGAGGACATTTTGCTGATCCTCACATGCTATTTTGCTATTGGTTAGGTCTAGGGCTAAGGTGTCCATTGGGTTAGGTGTGCATTGGTAATAGTTTAGGGTTAGGGCATGGGAATGGTTGAAAATTACGATGGCAGAACGAGAATGTGTGTAGGGGGGTGGGTGTGTGTGGGTAGGTGTACATCTCAGGGTCTAGGCACTGCCCTGAGCTGCATGTGCAGTTGGGTGGTAGGGCCAGCATCCTTTGTCCTCTGTTATACCCCATTTAAACTGACCTTGAAAAACCGATCCATGCCAAGACCGGTCCGAGCTCAGATCAGTTAACCAGGCCGAGCTCGGTTCTGACGACCGTTTACACATCACGCTATCTCGGTTCCTCGACTCCTCGCCTCCTACTGACGATCTGCGGTATTACTGCCAGTATTGAAGGAGGAAATCAAGCAGTTGGTGGCGGTAATCAAGGGCGTAGGAATATGTTTAGAATTGGGGGGGACACATGTCGGAAATCTGAGATTCGTAAATATTCAACAGAAACATATCTTAAGTACGCTACTTTAAAAAAGGCTAGTTAATCTTTTACTTTATTCCTTCATAAATGTGTCTTGCAAAAATAATGCATTTGTTCATAAGAAGTGAGCATATCACCAAACAAAATGACTGAGTCTTTTATTAAGCAAAGGGAGATGTATTTCAAGGCCTTCAGCCCTTGGCATGTTTAGTGTCCGCATACGCACTAGAAAATCAGATATTTCAGGTGCATTGAAAACAATTCAGTGGGCCACAGAAGTGCAAAGTTTGATATGTTTTATTTTGTCAAACTTGCAATAATGG